AATCTGGTTTGAGTACTTATTTCTGTGACTTCTCATTTTCACGGATGCGGCCTGCTGTGCCTTTATTGAGACAACTTTTTGCTCATCCAGAGGCCTTTGTTCTGCTGCTCACCAGTATACCAGTTTCTGGGTTCAAACCATGGATGTTGTGGGGCGGACCTCTGACTGAAGCTTTTGCACCTCTGCAGCTCTTTCCTTGGTGGGCCTTAACTGGGGAGGCTTACCCCAGTCCCTGGGGTTGGGGCAGATTCCGCCAGGGATCTTCCTGGAGCTGCACTGGTCTGGACCACACCACTGGTCCCCTGGGTCTGCGCACACTCAGCAATGCTATGGGGTGAGCCTCTGACTGAAGCTTTCATACCTCTGCAGCTCTTTTCTGGGTGGGCCTTGAATGGGAAGGCTTGTCGCAGTCTCTGGGGTTGGGGTGAATCTCCAATGGGGACTTACCTAGAGCTGCACTGGTCTGGACCATGCCACTGCTCCCTGGGATCTGTACATCCTCACAGATGCTATAATTTGGGCCTCTGACTGAAACAATAACAAATTCTGGAGAGTCTGCAGAGGAAAATGAAATCTTCTTTGCTTTTGGTCGGAGGATAAAGATTATGGAAATCAGTATGGTGTTTCCTCAAAAAAACTAAAACTAGAAATTCCATTTGACACAGCTATTCTCCTTCCAGATATCTTCCTAAGAGAGTTAATGATGTCATAGTAGAGAGATACATGTGCAACTATATTTATAGCAAAACAATTCATAATAGCTAAATCTTGGAAGCAGCCAATATCTCTATCAATAGTTAAATGGATAAAGAAAATTTATACACAATGGAGTGCTACTTTGCCATAAAGAAGGATAATTTTAGTCAGTTGGAAGAAAATGGATGTACCTTGAGGCCACAATGTTAAGTGAAGTGAATCAGACATACAAGCTTAAATATCGCATGGTCTCTCTTACATGAGAAACCCAATATATGAATAAAATGCAACATAAAAGATCAACAATATTAAAAAAGAAAAGAGAGAAAAGTTAGTATAATCCAGGAAAGCTAATGTATCTGAAAGTATACCATGATTTAGTGTAATTGTATTATATGTCTTATATGTTTTTGGTCTGATAGTCTGGCTGTTAATCTGTGTTTATGATAATTAACTTGATAAAGATTTAAATAAGAAATGAATAGATCTGATGCTGGAAAAAAATGGGGTGGAGGGAAAGGGAAAAAGAAAGAATTGGAATGTGTTACATGCAAGTACCAGTTCCCCACATGGAGGTAATCATGTACTGCAAACATGAACTAATAAAATAAATAAGTCAAGATGGTAAATTTCATGTATTTTTATCACAATAATAAAAGTTCAATCTTGCTGCTGGCAGATCAGTATTTCCCACTAATTAATTAATTTGGTATTAATCTTTAAAGAAAGGCTTGGCCTTATCAACACTCATTTATGTACTTATAATGTCAGATCTATCTTTTATACATACCTTGAAATAGACTGATCACATCTGGAATTAGTGCTGGTACATTCATGAAATTAGCAGATTCACGCCAAATCAAATGATTTTAGCACCAAAGTGTCTGTAAAAACATTAGGTCTCAAAGCTTGGTGCATCCAAATATGATATGACTACATTTAGGACAGGTATTGAAGTCATACTTATACTCTTGGAAAAAGAAAGCTGTAATCAGATGTAAGTATAAAATATCACTCCATTGTACTTGTAAGCACTGTCTGTAACAATATCTTTAGATAAAAATCCATGCTTGCTGCATGGTATCCAGCCAGAGTTGAAAAGAAGGCCTGATTGCTGTGATTATATGTCTAAATCTAATTTTAAAATATCTGTAACTTACAGCAGATTTACATCTTGTGGTTTGGGAGCTTACGAGAATAGTATATTCTTACTTGACATTCATGCCAAAGATTTAGCAGTTGCTGAACAATAGAGCCTCATTACTCACAAAGATGATTATCATGGGAGGAATGGGTAAGGAAGAAAGAAAAACAGATGTGTGAGAATCAGATGGATGGGTTGGACAAGGCTTATTTTAAACACTTCTTAAAAATTTAAAAGAAATACAAATGTGATAGGTTAAGTTAAAAAAAATCAATCCATTTAGGGTTTTTTGTGCTGTTTTTCTTTTTCTTTTGGGCATACAAAAGTAACAGATTGAGTTAAAAATAAATCAATCCATTTGGTTTTCTTGTTATTTGTTGGTAAATAACCATCCAGCAGCCCTGATCCTTTATATTTTGAGACTAAGTCTTGCTAAGTAGTCAGGAGGATGGACCTCAAACTTGAGATCTTCCTGTATCAGGCTCCGAAGTAGTTGAAATTATTAAAATACCATGCCCAGCTCCTGGGTTTTTTGTTTTGTTTTCTAATTTTAAAATTTGACTGTTTTACTCTTGTAACTTGGAAGGAAAAAAAGTGAAAAAGTAATTTTTTTCTCATTCCTTAGGCTGTATATATCTTTATTCCCTTGTCCTGGCAGGGTACTAACAGCTTATTCGGGTGTTGAGGTTGTCCAACAGATTAGCTCATTTTATTTGGGAAGGTCTGTACCTATGGGAGAGAAAGAGCTTGAATAAAGAGTAGGATGGAGCATTTTTGGAGAAGAAGACCAAGGGCACCTGGGGGTTCTTGTGACTTCTTGAAGACTGACCACCGTGTTCATGTCTTGGGAATTCAGGCCAGATTCTAGAGGACAAAGGCAGTGGATGCTACCATCAGAGAATGCCTATTACCTCTGAGTATGGCCAAGTGTTAGAGGCCTGGACATAGAGCCAGGCAAGGCCACTAAATGGCTACAAGAAAACAATTCCCTAATATCCTGGTCAACAGGACATAATTGCTTTAAGACTGTTACAGTCTCTCAAGGACTTAACTTTTGAAGATCCTACCTTATACCACATCAAAACATAATGAAATGCACCATGATTTATTTTAAATAAAATTTTTGTCATATAATTTTTTGAGTTTTTATAATTTTGCTTTTGAGTTTATTTTTCTATGTCCAAATCATTTATGGGTTTAATATCTGAGAAAAATATTGTGCACATTATGAACATTTTTGAATATCTAATTCTTATCAAATATGATATTTTTAAAATACTAAATTTAGCGTCTACTACAGAGGAGTTTTAAATAGCACAGTACTATATACAAAGTAATAGTTAATAATTGTATTAGTCTTGTGGACGATTAGAAACTGCTGGTTTGAGTAATTTATATTCTAACAGTTACATTTTATTTATTCTATTTAGATTTTTTCACTGCATTATATTACATTTTAGGAAATGCTTAGGCATTGATCAGTAGTCATCACATGTTTTTCCATTTAAAGTAATAGCAAATGGGAACCCATTAGTGCTTGTTACATATAGCATGTAGTTTTTCAGATTTGGATTACTCATATTCAGAGGAAGATTCCTTTTTATAACTGGATGCTGTGCTCTGGGTCAGATCCCACCCTGGGAGGAGCGTTGCTGTTTGTGAGGAATGCTTCATAAGAGGATGAGAGAAGAGGATGTCAGCAAGGAGGAAAAGCAGAAAGCTGAAAAGAGCATGACTGACATATGGGGACTGGGGTGGGGGACTATGTTGTAGTCACAGTGTAACCTTTACTGAGCAGCCATTTACACTTGTCTTTTGTTGAAGTGTCCTTGGGACTTTACAAGACTGGGTTCATCCATATCGCCATAAGAATTCTTTACTGAATAACTTACCTTCTGGGGTTTTAGAACAAATTGAAGATACAAAAAAGCAATTTATCAGCTACCGAGTAACTTCCTTACAAGCTCTTAGCGAGACCTTTATGAAAAAATCTTTTCTAACAATACATTTAAATAGCAAATATCAAAGAAGAGATATTTTTATATTTCTCATGGTCTCAACCCCTTTTGCCATATGAGGACATAGGAGGGAACATGATACATCCCTGACAGTCTCTGGTTGTTTGACTTGCTTTTCCTCTGGGCAGCAGGCTCCACGCCTGCCAATGACATCTTAAGTTGGGGTGGAGGGTTAGGAATGTAGCTCAGCACAAGAGCACTTGCCTAGTAAGTTTGAAGGTGTTGGTTTGATCACCAGTACCAAGAGAATAAGAGGGAAGTTAGAGGAGCTGTGGAAGATGCAGGGACAGATCCCTAAATAATTCCTGTACAGCCTAGGGCCACAAGACTGCACTGTCCAACTTCAACTGCCTCATAGTTAGCTGAGGGCCCACACTACAATCCATTTTAGTGTTTGTGCTGCAGTCAGGCTTCCCGCCTACTGCTCCTAGTCATTTAAGAGTGCTGCATGGATTAAGTACCAAGAAAGGATTGGTCCCAAGAGACAGGGCTTCTCTGAGGCATAACTTTCACTTGTGGACTCCCTGAAAGCATTGCTAAACCTTCCTTAGACTGCTCAGTTTGTCTGTGCTATTTCTACCTCACTTGCTTTCCCAGTTTCCTTTATTCAGGGTCAGGTTGGGTCATAGCTCGCCGCCTTTCCCAGTCTGAATGCCTTACTCCCCTTTTTCTCACACAGGTGTTTCCCCTAATAAAATCTTTCATGCTGAATCTTATTTTGGCAGCTGACTCTCAAAAGACCCAGAATAACACACTTTCTATGTTGGGAACCACTGATTTAGGTTCTCTTTACTTAGAATATTTGGCACTTCTTCATAAATACGAAACTTACAATACTCAGTTATGCCTATTCTTCAGAATATTCCCCTCGCCAGCCGGCTGCTTTTCTATGAAGTCATATGAATTTGCCCTCAAAATAAGCTCTTCCAGACTTAACTCCTCAGCTTTATTTCAGCTAATGAGTAATTATTCTCTAAATGGTGCCATACCCACAAAGTGTTTTTTAAAAGGAATTGGCTTCCTCCATACATCTTTTTCTAATTAAAACAATGAAAAACATGTTTATTTTCTATTACATTTTTGTCCATTTGAGATGTTTTTTAAACAAAACCAAAAATATTTGTAGATTCTAAAGTACGTACTTTTGCAGATGTGGTGATTCTTAATCTTAGTGGGTTCAGACCTTAGAATGCGATCCAGCACTGGCAACAAAAAAGACATAGGATATGCTCAATTTAACACAAAAACCCTAAGTAAGGAGTCTTTCTGGTCTGTTTGAGGATGCCCTAGTTACTGCTCTTAATTTAAAATACTTTGCTTCCTACTTTGAGCTGCTTTTGAAAATGGAACATCATATTTTTCCATGCTGCTTCTTTGGAATCCATATGTAAGTCAACATAACACAGAGGTTAAACAGGTATGGTGGCATATACCTGCAGTCCCAACACTCAGGATGCTGACAAAGGAGGATCACCATGAGTTTGAGGTCACCATGGGATACTTTATGAGCTCAAGACTAGCCTGGAATACAAAGCAACCCTATCTAAAAAAAACCCTAAAATAAAAATAAAATAAAACATAACACATAAGCACAAGTCAACATAACAACATAATTTATATTTAACTACGATACTACGTTTCGTATAGTCTTCTGCCTGAATCAGAGTTTATGAAGGAAAGTGTAGAAGATGGGGAATATGGAGTACAAGCTCTCGAGTTCATTTCTGGGATTTGAACTCTATATTGCCGCTTCTTAAAAACACCAAGTGCTGTCATATCTCAGGGTCTTTGCTCTTGCTGTTCCCTCTCCCTGGACACTCCCTTCAAATGTCAGTATGGCTCATTTCCTTACCTCATTAAGTCCTTCTCAAATGCCTTCATCAGAGAAGCTTTCCCTTTAGACAGCTCCTCTCCGTTTGTCCTCTAGCCCTGTCTCTGCTTTATAGCTCTTCATAGACTTTATCATCTGATCTATCATTCATTTAAGATTTTTACTATGGTAAAAAGTACATAGTCATTCATTCCCCTCAAAATATTCCCCTCACTTCAGAAACCCTAATCTCACTGTTCTGACCATGTTCTAAAGTAGTTCTGGAAGTCCTCTTTTGTGTCCCCCCACCCCTGTTAAGTTTATTGGCACATTTAAAGCAAACAATAAAGTTGAATTTATCATTGGGATCTTGTATCTTTACATATCTTGGTTCTTATTTTTTCCCCATAACCCTGCTCTCCCTTCACCCACTTCACCCTTCCCTATTTACAAAGACTTTATTTCCATTTTTCCCTTTTCCACATTTTTTCTTTTCCCTTATTTCCTTTCCCCTCCCCTTCCTACTTCCCCTTTAGCCATTTCTTCCTATTTCACACTATCATTATTTTCCAGTAAATTTATTGTTTCTGTTTTGATATTTAGATCTTTAAAACACTTGGATTTTAGTTTAGTGTATGGTGAAAGAGAGGGATCTAATTTTAATCTTTGGCAAATTGTAACCCAATTTTTCCACTTACCATTTATTAAAGATGCTGTCTTTCCTCCAGTGAAGATGGTTGGCTCCTTTGTCAAAGATGTGGTAGCTGAGTGTGTCTGGTGTTGTTTCTGTATGTTCAAATCTATTCCATTGATTCTCAGATCTGTTTCTTTGCCAGTACCATGCTGTTTTTAATCACAGTGGCTTTGTAGTATAGTTTCAAGTTGGAAATTGTGATACCCCCAGCCATGTCTCTGTTGCCTAGAATTGCTTTTGCTATTCTAGGTCTCTTATGGTTCCAGATGAATTTTTGGATCACTTTCTCAAGCTCTGTGAAATATGCTGTTGGGATTTCAATCATGATTGCATTGAATCTGTATAGCAGTGTTGGAAGTATAACCATTTCCACTATGTTCGTGCTTCCTGCCCAGGAGCGAGAGATGTCTTTTCATTTTCTTATATCCTCTTCGATGTCTTCTTTCAGAGTGCTGTAGTTTTCACTGTAGCAGTCTTTTGTCTCCTTCATTAGATTGATTCCTATATATTTCTTTTTTTTTTGGATTTTATTGTGAGAGGAATTGTTTCCCTAATTTCTCTCTCAGTGAGTCTGTTATTTGTGTACAAGAAGGCTATTGATTTTTTAGTGTTGACCTTGCATCCAGCTACACTAATGAATCTGTTAATTAAGTCTGGACATCTTTTGGCACAGTTTCTTTTGGGTCTCTATGTAGAGTATCATCCCATCAGCAAATAGTGACAGTTTAAATTCTTCCTTTCCTATCTTTGCTCCTTTTATTTCTTTCTCTTGCTTAATTGCTGTGGCTAATGTTTCTAGAACCATATCTAACAGGAGTGGTGATAGTGGACATTTTGTCTTTTTCCTGATTTTAGTGTGAAGGATTTCAGTTTTTGACCATTTAGTACTACGTTGTCTGTTGGTTTTTCATAGGTACCCTTCATCAAGTTGAGATAAAGACCATCTATTCCAATTTTCTAAATGAATGAGTGTTGAATCTTGTCAAATGCTTTTTCTGCATCTATTGAAATGATTATATGATTTCTGTCCTTGACTCTGTTAATATAGTGCAATACATATACTGATTTATATATGTTGAACTATCCTTGCATCCCTAGGATAAATCTGAATTGTTCAGGGTGTATGATCTTCTTGATGATCTTCTGTATTCTGTTTGCCAGTATCTTATTGAGGATTTTTATATCTATGTTCATTAGGAAGATTGGCTTATAGTTCTCTTTTTTGGTTGTTTTTCCCTAGTTTTATAGTCAAAATAATACTTCTTCCAGGAATGAATTTGAAAATATTCATTCCCTTTCAATTTCACTGAAGAATTTGAACAGTAGTGGCAGTAGTTCCTCTCTAAATGTCTTGTAGAATTCAGCAGATCTTTCAAATTTGGAAGTTCATATATATCTAGGAATCTGTCCATTTCTTCTGTATTTTCCATTTTATTAGAGTACAGGTTTTCAAAGTAGACACTGATAATCCTCTGGATTTCTGCTGGCTCTGCTGTGACTTCACAGTTTTCATTCCTAATTGCATGAATTTGAGCCTTTTCTTTCCTTTTTGTCATAAGATTGGCTAAAGGTTTATTCATTTTATTATTCTTTTGAAAAACCAACTCTTTGATTTGTTGATTTTTTATATTGCTCTCTTAGTCTCCATTGCATTAATTTCCACTCTGATATTTATAATTACCTCCCTTGTACGAGCTTTCAGTTTGTCTTGCTCTTCTTTTTCTAGAAGCTTAAGGTTAGACATTAGGTTTATTTGAGCTACCTCTGTTTTGCTAGTATGACATTTACTGCTATGAATTTCCCTCATAGAACTGCTTTCACTGTGTCCCATAGATTCCTGTATGTTGTATTGCATTATCATTTAATTGTAGAAACTGTCTACTTTCTTTTTAAATTTCCTCTGTGACCCAATGGTTGTTCAGCAGGGTGTTATTTAATTTCCATGTGTTTGTGAAGTTCTTGTGTTTTCTTTTCTTCTTTAAAAAATTTTTTAACTTTATTAAGTTTATTAGTACAATTTAGGTATGCAATACAGTTACATTCATCATTGGGATCTTGTGCCTTTACAAGACTTTTCTTGGTTCTTATTTTTCTCCATTCCCTAGACCCCCATTCACCCCCCCACCCTTCCCTGTTTACAAAGACATTGTTTCCATGTTTTTCTTTTAAAATATTTTTTCTTTGCCCTTTTTACCTTTCTCCTACCCCTTCCACTTCCTCTACTCTTTTTGACTTTTTCTTCCTATTACACAGTATCAATTATACATTTTGATCCTTATTTACATTTTTAGTTTTTCACACCAGAAAAACTATTCAGTATTTACACATGTGTCTTAATAATTTTACTTAAGAGTATGGCCTTAATGTGCATCCACTTAGCTATAAATGTATCTGGTTTCTCATTCTTTTTGGCTGAGTACTACTCCATTTTATTAAAAGAATCACACACACACACACACACACACACACACACACACACACACACACATCTTTTTTATCCAATCTCCAGTTCATAAGCAATTGGGCTGTCTCCAAATTTTAGTCTTGTGGTTTCTTATCCTATTGATTTCCAGTGACACTGCACTATGGTCTGATAATATTCAGGGTATAACTTCAATTCCTTTGAATTTACTTAAGCATGTTCTATGTGCTATCATGTGGTCTATTTTGGAGAATGACCCGTGTGCACCCAAAAAGAATGTGTATTCTGATTATGTGGGGTGGAACACTCTCTAGACATCTACTAAGTCCATTTGTTCTAAGACTTGGTTCAATTGTCATTTCATTGTTGAATTTTTTTCTAGATAATCTGTCTATTTGTGACAGTGGAGTATGGCAGTCCCCCAATACCATTGTATTAGTGCTTATTTCATTTTTCATATCCATTAATATTTGTTTTATATAATGGGGGCATTAGTATTCAGTGCATATATATTTCTGATTGTAATTTCTTCCTCTTGTTTTGTTCCCTTTACAAGGATGTAGTGGCCTTCTTTGTCTCTCTTAATTACTTTTGGTTTGAAATCTACTCTGTCTGCAAATAAGATAGCTACCCCTGCTTTTTTCCAGGCTCCTGTTTCACATACAACTGTTTTCCATTCTTTTACTCTCACTCTGTGAATTTGTGGATTAAGTGGATTTCTTGTATATAGCATATTGTTGGATTTTGCTTCTTAATCCATTCTGCCAGCCTATTTCTTTTGATTGATGAATTGAGGCCATTAACATTGATGGTTATAATTGTTATGTATTGACTTTTATTGTCATGTTATTTTCCTGTTGTTGGCTCTTTTGTTTTTCCCTCTCTCCTTTTAATTTCTTGCCTTGCCTGGTACATTTGCTCTGTTGGCCCTTATGGAGTTGTCACCATCATTTTCTTTTTCCAGGATACTGTTTAGAAGCTTCTGGAGTGCCAGTTTGGTTTTCATGGAATTTCTCAGGTGTTCTATGTTGTGAAAATATCTTATTTCCCCCATTAATTTTAAAAGATAATTTTGCAGGATATAGCAGTCTAGGTTGGAGGTTGTTTTCTTTTAGGACTTGAAATACCTCATTCTAGGCTCTCCTTGACTTGAGGGTTTGTGTTGAAAAGTCTGCTGTGATTCTGATGGGCTTTCCTTTGCATGTGATCTGTTTCTTTTCTCTAAATGCTTGTAGTATTGTGTTCTTCTGTTGAGTTTCTGGAATCTTGATTATTA